AAAAAAACTGGACATTTTAGATTTCATATCATTGTGTGTCTTGGTGACAATGTTCACAAGGAGAAAGTGAAAGGATGAATCTCCTAAGGACACTTTCACACAAATGTCTGATGTCTGATCGTCCTTTCACTCCTATGTACTGGTGGATGTAAACAGACTTGTGTTACACCCATCCACCTCTGATCCAATCCAGTCTGCTAAAAAAAAATACCAAGGGGATCTGTCCCCTTCCTTCTTGGTGGATTCAACCAGAGGGCAGTCTGGTGTAAATGAACAGCGCATGTCCGTTTACTCCTGGTCCATCCATAGAGCAGAGCTGGCTATGTTCCCTCTGCATAAACTAAGCAGATGTGGATCTGTCATCTGCATGTCCTTTTGATCAGCAGGGATGAGTGGGACAGATCCCCTGCTGATCAAAATAGAGTCCACCTCAAGTGAAAGGGACCTAATGAAGAAACAGAGAGCAATAAAAACCTGACGGTGATTTTAGCTTTTTTTTTACTCTATAAAAATAAAAAAAAATAATCATAATAATAATATCTTTTGTTTTTAGATATGCATTGACCCTTGTTATCCTTTTTATTTCTGCTAAGAGACAGGTAACTGCTAGTTTTTCTGCAATGTAATATTTTTACAAACCAATGACTGGACAAACATGACTAAAACCTCTGACTACCGTCTGTCATTATTGGTGCTGAATTTATTGAATGCTGCAATAAAGCCAAGCCTCCTCCACAGCAGTCTAAACATTTTGTTTTACAAAAGTACAGGCCACTTTTAAAGGCAAGCCTTAGCCCCCAGTTACTGATTTAAGTACAAAAGAAGCGACAGTCTTCCCAGCAGGCCAAATTTTTCCACCAGGTGTGTACTTGTCACCTCTATGAAATGCTGACATTCTGATGGATAATTGTATAAATTTTTGCAATTACGAACAAGTTTTCATTTAGTAGGACTGACCTTGTGCAGATGTTTGTTTCAAAAAGTGCCATGGAAAGACAAGATACCTCTGCAAGCCTGCTGCATGGTAATCAATGACATGCAGAGATAGTTCAGTCTTGCAGGGTCACTTATTTAAGAAATGGTTCATTTCTCTGTTAATACATCTCAATCTTATCAAAGCAGTTTAGCTGCAAACAGCTTTAGTTTAGTCTCCAGCAAGCAGCATATGCGCTTGAGTTTCTACTGCTGAGAAAGTGAATCGGTTGCAGAAAGACTAATCTGTTAAATCTTACAGGGAAGTTGATATAAAGAAAAAAACGAATTCCTTATATTTACAGAGTTTTCTTTTTGTTAGTGGCAATCAGGGGCGGACTGGCAACTCACGAGGCCCCCGGGCAATAGGGGATCATGGGGCCCTGTGTCCTTGCCCAAACTCAAAAAAGTCTATGAAAAAGGTACCAGGGGCATCTCATGGGGCCCCCTACTGACCCCGGGCCCTCGGGCAGTTCCTGAGTTTCCAAATGGTCAGTCTGCCCCTGGTGGCAACCATGTTTGTTGAAAAAAAAAAGGAGACATTATAGTTATATGCCATTTGTAATAAATTTGATTAAAAAGTAATTGTAGGTTATGTCCATCTTGGTTTTGTCTTCTGCAGTTTGAGCCATTTAATAAATAATTGGGTTTTTTAGCACTACAGCTCTTATAGGTTTTTTTTAAACTTGGTATTAATACTATGGATATCCTTTATGTCTAAACTCCAGTCCACTCCCAAAAGGATTGTTTAGGTATTTGTGGAGCCATGTGGGCTAAGTCAGCTTTGTATGCCAACAGTGAGATCTGAATACCATAATTTAGGCTTCTGTTCCTGCCCACCTTAGAATTTGTTGGTGTTCCCATCCATCTTTCCATGTCCAAATCCCTACTGTCTCTACTAACTATTCTTCGTTATATAAAACGAATTAAAAAAATCGCCTGCAGAAAGAGTGGGAGCTCATCATATAGGCACCCGCAGGTGGAGAGGACTAGCACAGGAGTCTCACCAATTGAATCTTTGAAATATATACCAAAAACTGCCAGGTAGTTTAAGTGCCTAACATCTAGTACCAAATGTCTACCAACAAAATTATATATCAGTTTGAGGTGGACTAACATTTTATTCATAAAATGTACACCAAATAGCCAACCCATTATGATGACCCATTATGATGACCCACATAATATTGAGTAGGTCTCTCCTTTGCCCTACTCATCAGTATTTGCATTTTGTGGCATGGATGGCACTGAAGTATGCATGCAGTGGTAATAGGCACCAAAGCATCAGTAGCAGATTATTTTAAATTCTGTAAATTGCCAGGTGGAGCCTCCATAGATTAGACTTGTTTTTCTACAACATCCCACAGATGATCAATTGTATTGAGATCTGGAGAATATGGAGGTCAAATCAATACCTCAAACTCATTGTTGTGTTCTTCAAACCATTTTTGAACCACTTTTGCAGTGTGGCAGGGCACATAATCCTGCTAAAAGAGGTCACTGACACCAGGGAATACCTTTTCCATGAACTTCCGTATACTTGGTCAGCAACAATGTTTAGGTAGGTGGTACGTGTCAAAGTAAAATCCACATGAATGGCAGAACATTTCCCAAAGAATCACTCTCTTTGGCAGCTTGCTTGGTCACAGGAAAGTGAACCACATGCACCTGGCCATCCACATGATGTAAAAGAAAATGTGATTAATCAGAACAGGCCACATTCTTCAATTGCTTTATGGTCCACTTCTGATGCTCATGTGCCCACTGTGTACTTTTGGCTGTGGACATGGATCAGCATGGCACCCTAACTAGTTTGCAGCTATGCAGCCCCATACACAACAATGGTTTCTGCTTTCAACACATCAACTTCAGGGACATGTTTATTTGCTGCCTAATCTATCCAACTGACTTTCAGATGCCAGTGTAATGAAATAATCAATGTTATTCACTTTACTTATCAGTGACATCCACTTGCCCTCCAGAGGATTTACCCCCCCCCCCCCCCTTCCTGACCAGGCCATTTTTTGTGTTACAGTGCTGCATGAGCGGTCATGCAATACTGTACCCAAATGAAATTTATATCCGTTTTTCCCACGAATAGAGCTTTCTTTTGGTGGTATTTGCTCGCCTGTGCATTTTTATTTTTTGCGCTATAAAAAAAAAAGTCCAACAATTTTGAGAAAAAAGCAATATTTTTGACTTTTTGTTATTAAACATGTCCAGTAAAAAAAATTAAAAAAATCTAATTTTGTCATAAATTTAGGCCAAAATGTATTCTGCTACATGTCTTTGCTAAAAAAATCCCAATACGTGTAAATTACGGAAATTAGGGAATAGCTGGTTATCAAGGAGTGGGCTGGCAAGCCGGCAGTTGCTTCCCTAAGAATGGATGACTCATTCGCTGTCGGCGGGGTTCCCTGCTGACAACTGAATGTAAACAAAAGAATTGCTGGCAATAAAATTTTAGGAAAAAAGCAGCATGCCTCCCCAATCTGCACCAGGCCCTTTAGGTCTAGTATGGATTTTAAGGGGATCCCCAAGTTTAAAAAAATGGCATAAGCCCCCTCAATCCATAAGGGGAACCCCCACACCTAAATTAAAACATAATGGTGTGAAGTCCCCCTAAAATCCATACCAGATCCTTATCTGAGCATACAGTCTGGCAACCAGGAAAGGGGGGATGAGCAAGTGGTCCCCTTTCTGAACCGTACCAGGCCACATGTCCTCAACATGGGGGGTGCTTTTGGGATAGGGAGGGCTTCCCCCAAAAGCACCTTGTCCCCATGTTGATGGGGACAAGGGCCTTTTCCCCACAACCCTGGACGGTGGTTGTGGGTGTCTACGAGCAAAGGGATTATTGGAATCTGGAAGCCCCCTTTAACAAGGGAACCCCAAGATTCCAGCTCCCATGTACATTGTACCTCTACCAGGGGCAGACTGACCATTCGAGCTCTCGAGCACTGCCTGAGGCCCCGGGGTCAGTAGGGGGCCCCATGAAATGCCCCTTGTACCTTTTATAGGCTTTTTTTTGGGTGTGTTTTGAGTGTGGGCAAGGACACAGGGGCCCCATGATCCCCTATTGCCCGGGGGCCCATGAGTTATCAGTCCGTCCCTGACCCCTACTCATTCACCAAAAAAGTGTAATAAGCAAATAAAAACACAGGTATGGTTTTTGACAAGTCCTTTATTTTTTTTTTTTTTAAATGCTCCCCGAAGTAAATCCAGTGTCAATGGCAATGGACATGGCACACAACCAGAAATATGCCAGAAAAAGCATTTTTTATCCAGTGATTTTTTCAGCTCCAATTGTGCATGGAGCCTTATTATTTTCATCTGTGCACAAAAGGTCATTCAAGGTGAACAAACAGCTGCAATTTATCTGAGTGAAGATTCTCAACTCCTTTAGTAAATCCGCCCATAATATCATTCTAAAGGTTCACAAATCAAATACCAGAAAAATACATAAGAGGCTTTGATGACTGTTACAGCTAATGTTTATTTTTGACAAGCCATGCACTAAGTTTTCACTAGGGTTTCACACTGAAAGGATCATTTAACACATTAAAATAAAATTATACTGATTGTGGCATTCGCTTCATCTACTGAGAATAACAAAAAATGGATGTTCACTGTGGTCTGAAGGTAATAAAAGCACACTCTCTGAACCATATAATTAGAAACATATTAACTAATTATTAAAGCTTAATGCATTATAAAAAAAAGGAAATAGCATTCTCTATTTCAGTTGCCCCTAAGGAATAATCATATTGAATATATGTTTAAAAAAAAAAAAAAAAAAAAAATATATATATATATATATATATAATATCTTTATATAGCCATCCTCTTCTTTTATTCTGAATAGATTTAAAACAATATTTTCTTTTTATAGTAATTGTTTCCAATAAAGTCTGTTTAGTATAAAGTATATATCAGCACATTACACAATAAAAATGTAATCTTGAGAACATATGTATTTTTTTGTTACAGTGAAAACATGTGGATCGAATCTTCAAGGTCCAAGTGGCTCATTCACGTCCCCAAACTTTCCATTTCAATATGACAGCAATGCCCAATGTGTCTGGGTCATTACGGCTGAAAATCCTAACAAGGCAAGTGTCATAATTTTGAGTATGTGTGCTTTATTCTTATTGAAAAATAACAAAAAGTCTTCTCTATAAGAATTTGTTGACCATATCAAACAAAAGGTTAGAGGTAAATGTTAAATCTTAGCCTTCACACTAGCTTTGCTCTCTGAAGAGCGATCTGCATTTAGCCTATGACAGGCAGTCAGGAGGTATTGTATCACATCCTCACTGCCTGCTTTAACCCCTTGAACCCCTCATTAGCTCCCTGCAGCCATGTCCATTGCACATGGTTGAGGAACAGTTGAAGAACAGCCCCTCTCACTTGACAGGGTACAATTCCCCCCTTGGCTGGAAAGTAAAGCATCATGGCTGCAGCATGTGTTCAACCCAGGCCACTACTAACTCTGAAGCTAAAGAGAGTAACCATTGGGAGGAGGTAAAATCCACCCACCAACTACTATTGTGAGCCCTTATGGAATTTTTGTTTTCACTGTGGAGGTACCATATTATTGAGCCTCTCTATTCCAGGAAAGCCACATGTCTAATATCATATAGATTCTTACATCAAATGCTTTGAGAAGGATCAATGCTGCCATCGAAAGATGCAAATAACGAGGCTGCCTGTAATTATCTTATTTTTCATAGTCCATTTTAAAAAATAACAATGGGTTTCCACCACTCAAGTCATGCCAACCTTTAATCCTAATGGATAGAGGGTTATGTGCTTGTGAGTCCCACACCATCTTGATTCCAGTCCATATACTCCTCAGTGTATGGTAGAGTGCATTGAGAGGAGTCTACAAAAAAAAAACAACAACAGGTAATGGCTTTAAAGCATAGAGGTCAATTGCTATTTATTTTTTTTTTTTTTCAAATCTCTCTTTTGCACTTTTGCTGCTCCAAAAGAAAGAAGTCAACAGAAGGTTGATTGTATATAAAACAGATAAATATGTAAAACAGATAAAATAAGAACAGGTAAGTACAGATAATGTATATATTTTATGATTTTATCAATCTACATTTCAGCTTCTGATTTTCACTGACTTGTCAGGATAAGAGTGATTTTGGCAATTTCACCATCAGTGAACTGTCATTTATTTAATTTATTATGCTTTGTAAAGTATATTTCCTTCTTTTGTGTTTGCTATTTGTGTACTGTCACTTTATTATTTATTTATTTTTGCAATCTGCAAAAAAGAAAAAGTAAACTAATGGCTAATGTGTGGCCATTTTGTGGGGCAGAAAAACAGATCTAGGATAGTTGAAAGCAGCTTCCATAATCCTCAAAATCCATCTACATCCTTAAAAAAATGTAATCTTTTTCATTGAATCCAACGCCTTTAACCAATAAGGTTAAATTTCACTGAAATCTCACAATTTTTTATGATCGAGGGTAAAAATCCTCAGTTTCACTCATAGCTACTGACTCCAGTCCACCAAGTAACATAAGAATGTAAGAAAATTAGGTGTTTAAATGCTACATTTTCATTTGAAATCTCCTTTTACTAATATTGCATAAAATGTGCCCCAAACATAACAACCAATCAAATATAACCATTTTTGAGGATGTTATAGAAAGTAAATGTTCTGTAGGGTGTTACATTTCTCTTCAACTCTCCAGACCATGATATCAGAACATACGCGAGTGGCTATGCATAAGTTTTGCCATTCGTCTAAGCTGTTAAAGACCGGGACTAGGACAAATAAAAGACTTTCTGCCAGAAGAATTTCTTCACTACATTGCTCTCAGCATTTTATTTGATATTAAAGCAGGTATTAAAAACTGTTTCATTAAATTGCCTACAGAGCCTTGCAGTGAGGTTGAAATTAAACATGACTTTTACAATATTGCTCAAATTCTTAATGTTCTTGGTGCAATTGATTGCACTCATGTATCATTAGTGGTTTCTTTCAGGCATTAAGCTATGTTTAAGAACTTGAAATTGGTCATTTCCACCATCTGCTTGTCACAAACTCCCAGAACGACTCAAAGCTGCTTTTCTGATGTACCTCTTTTGGTGAAACAATGTTCCTATTTTTTTCTGTGATTCAGCATGAACAAAATATGTTTTCTTCCTTGTGCTGACGTTGGGTATGAAAAAAGATAACTTACAGCAAGTAAAACATATTCTTTTTTGAAAGTACTTTAAACACTGCCCAACACAGCTGAAATCAGAATTGTTTAAAAGGGGGTCTGATAACTTTTATACTATCTAATAGGGTGGGGGGACACAGAAAGTATTTTTAAATAACAGTATGACTGTCATTAAAATGATGGCCATTGCACCTGTATACTGTAAGTGATGTATGCATTTAATCCATAAATGTCAATGTCACTGATAAAAGGTCTGATAGAAAAAGGGTGCTGTTGCACTTAGGAAAAAAATTACATATATATAAAAGAATTGACTATATATAAGATACCTAGCAGTAGTCCAACATGTGAATTTCTAAACACAAAATCTTAGATATTTCAAAAATGGACCGCGCTAAGGTCACAAATTGACTAAATAAACTGTGCAATCTATGAAGTGATAACAATGAGCAACATGCAAATACAATATTAATATTTAGGATTTGTACCCTCAATCATAAAAAATTGTGAGATTTCAGTGAAATTTAACTCTATTGGTTAAAGGTGTTGGATTCAATGAAAAAGATCAAATTACACATCGGCCATCAGGACCGGATTGCAAACTGGGATAGTCCCAAAAAGCGAGTGTGACTTACTTAGAGATAGGTGGTCATGAAATGACGGTGAGTTTCCATCTATGTGGGGCACCAGTGTGAACACAGTGAAGCACTTGTCAATTCAGTATGGAGTATAACCGTTAAAGATACAGCACCATTGCACCAATTATTAACATGTTGGGACTGAATATTAATATTGTATTTGAATTTTGCTCATTGTAATCACTTCATAAATTGCACAGTTTATTTAGTCAATTTGTGACCTTAGCAAGGTCCATTTTTGAAATATTACTGATTAAAGGTCATTCACCCTAAAATTAGTATTTTAATTTTTGGTAGATGCTGGAACCACCAGTTTCTTGTATGTCTTTTGGTTATATTGGTTAGCTCTCTAAGTTTGGATTTTTTTCGCTCTGCACATTTGCTATGGTCAGATCCTTCTTTTGGATCCCGTAATAACCTGTAATTTATTATGAGAGAGAATGAAACGGGGAAAGCCAGGGGATGACTATTTATACACATAAGTAGGTGTATAAAAAGGTGTAAAATTAATATGTCACTTTTAGGTGAACTGACTTTTTAACTAAACTAATTAAATAAATTTCACTTATGCTTTTCCAGATCTGTTACATAATATGCAACATTTGACATTTGCTAAAGTTTCCCTTTAGATGAAAATCATCATTCTATAAAAAAAACCATATTAGGTTCAGACAATAATTCCATTTCCATCCAGTGGGTTGGCTTGCTAAAAGTGATTGTAAAAAAGTGATTGTAAACCCTCAATTTGTTTTCTCTTAAAATAACAAACATGCCATACAGTACTTACCCACTCTGTGCAATGGTTTTGCCCCGATCCTCTACTTCTCAGGTCACCCACCAGCACTCTAGGCACCTCCCCTTCTTGGTGTGCCCCCATAGCAAGCCATTTGCTATGGAGGCACACCTGGGGGCTCAATCAGTGCTGTGGTTCAGCCCCACCCCCACTCTCTGCTTATGGTGTTTGATTTACAGCAGCAGGGGCTGCCAATTGCTCCTGCTGCTGTCTGAGTCCCTGTGAGTAGAGGAAGAGAGGAGTGAGAAGACTGCAGCCAGGCACAGTGCTGGATTGCTGACAGACTCAGGTATGGGTTTTTAGCAATGGAAGGAAATAGTGGGGTGTTTTTTTTTAACTTAATGCAGGGAATTCAATAATGTAAAAAAAACACCAAGGCTGTAGCACCACTTAAAGGTATAGAGGATATTCACTATATACCATGTTCATTTGGACTAATTGACTCTGATTATCCAAAAAAGAGAAAAACAAAAACAAAAAAATGCAGTCAAGAACAAGCGCAAATCCTGTTTTTTTCCCTGCACATATTTGTGGAATCAAATTGGACATAGCTTTGCTTTATTCACTAAAACTACTTTATTGCTAAAATAAAAATGCTAAATAATGTGCCCCTGGCAAAAAAGAAAATTTCACTTCTGACGTTTGCCATTCCACCACCTCGGCTTGAACAATCATCAGAATCTGACACATCCTGGACTGTCAGAATTCTGGTCCCCCACCATATGTTATTGTTCCTGCTGCTACCTTCTACTGTATATTGCAGTTATGTAGGGTCGCGTGGAGTCCCTGAAATGTCAGAATTTGATGCTTCAAGCAATGGTTTCTGAAATACAGAGGCGATGCTTAGAAAATGTGCCTTATCTTTTTTTCAGGGAGCACATTAACTATTTTTATTTTAGTGACAGAGTCAAATAGGCTGAGTAAATATTCTCTATTTCTTTAATAAATCAACCCCAATGAATGTCTGGTGTCAGGTCATTTGAAAAATTTCCTGAGCCTGTTATTTGTCATGCATCATGTAGGTAATAAAACGCACACTTAAATTAGTGAACCCTTTGACCTTACTATGGCCTCCTGTGACCAATGGCCATTAATAATATTTTTACCAACAAAAAATAATATTGCTAAAACAGCTGAAACAGATTGTTTGGTCATTCATTTGAGATAGGAATAAAAACGTATTTGTTTAATAAAGTAAATCTTCTTTATGTATTTGCACTTATATTTTGATTTATAAGAATGTATTTAAAAGACTGGGATTGGATGATTGTTAGCAGTAGCTATCTGCATGGTGTGTTTTCTCTCTCAATAAATAAACAATGTGCTAATTATACATGTAATAAATAACATTTAAAATAACCTTGGCCTTGCCAACACTGACACTAGCATTTAATGCTCATTAAAATGTTTTGCAGTACTGTTGGAAAGTGATAGTGGATCATTCCGCCTGTGACACCATTACCGAGCAGCACATATTATTTATATTTGTGTGTCTCATTTTGGAACGTTTTAAATTGCAAGATTTTGTGGATCATATTGTCTTCTCCACTTAGTTTTTGGTAGATACATTTGAACTGATTTTTTTCCTATATATGTTCTATTACTTCCCTTCAGGTTATTCAAATCAATTTTGAAGAATTTGATTTAGAAATAGGCTATGACACTTTGACAATTGGAGATGGAGGAGAAGTCGGAGATCCAAAAACTGTTTTGCAAGAGTAAGTCCAATTATCTTTCATTCAGATTCACACATTTTATATCATTACATTTTGTTGATAAATAACACAGATGTTTAATTCATATTGCCCGATGTACAGGACATGTAGTTCCAGGCACCAGGAAGGTAGTTTTTTTTTACCTATAACCCTGCTGTGGGTAAGCAGCAGGGTCATCTGTCAAGTGGAAGCATTTGTGTGGTAGCACTGCTGCCCAATTGCTTCCACAGAGCCCACTATGTTGCCAGCCTCCGCCCCCCTGCCCGCTACGTCTCCCGAGGTGCGCTTGTCCATCTGTGAGCCTGGGACCAGTTTAGTGGGTGTCAGCGGGTATACGGCAGGGAGGGAGAGAGTGGACATATCTGCTCCTCTTCGCTTCTTGTTCTGACCCACAAGTGATGTGACATCACTTCCTGGTCCCCAGCGACCAAGGCTGGGAAAGAATGTAATGCAGTGCAATGTGCACTGCATTACATCCAGTGTAGTACAGGGGAGACATGCAGGCTCTTTTAGACCCTGCATGTCTCAAAAAAGAGAACCTGTCACCAAAAAAATCATCACATAGGGGACTTTTTGTCCCCTATGTAATGAAAAAAAAAGTTAAGTAAAAAAAAAAATTAAAGTTACACCCAAGCATATAACCCCCCCAAAATTTTTAAGACCCCCACATATGTATGCATGTACAAACGTAAAAGCTCATGCTGGAGCGTCTATGCATGAAAACGATGATTGTGATACACATGTTACATATCACCATGCACACCAGAACGAAAGCAATAATTCTAGCACCAGACCTCCTCCGTATCGGTAAACTGGTGACCTACATGAGGCTTTAAATGCGTCATCTATAGAAAATATAGGGTACTAAAGATTGTTGCCATTACATGAGCGCATTCAAATTTAAGGTTTGACTTGTTGGACATCTATTTACTAGATGCAGCATAATATTTTATATTTTAAAAAAATTAGATAATTTATTGCTTTTTGTACCCTAAAATTAACTTGTGTATTTTTTTACTGAAATTTTTGCATTTCCTATACCTTTGTGATAATACCGTGTGACATAATAAATTGGAACTACCATTATTTTATTCTCTAGGGTCTCTGATTTCAGAAAATATATGTTTTGGAGTTTTGTGTAATCTTCAAGCCTTAAGTGATTTTTTAAACACGTGCAAAAAAAACAAAAATGGCTGCAGCAGCAAAATGGATAAAGGATAAGCCCAACACTCCCCTTTCTTGACAACCACCCAATCGGTGCTCAATACACTGCAAGGTCTCTCCCCTCCCTGCTAGTCCCCGGGTGCAGTGCTAGAGACAGGCAGGGAGATGAGGAGGAGATAAACAATACAATCTTGAAAATATTAAACGTTTAAGATGCCATAAAGCGCCTTTTGTTTTTAAAAGCCCCAGGCATTCCTAAAAGCACCTCAAATTTAAATTCGGTTTTGGTTACATTTTTTCTTTTTTTTGTAGATTGTCATAAGGGACAAGTAGATTGGGACACCAATGTAATCCTTAGACAAGTCGTTTTTTAAAAAATTTCCATACCCCTGTACAAGAACCCAGCTTGTAAATTAAATGCAGACCACACATAGCCCTGCCAATGTCTGATCTACCCACATGCTGAACCACTTTTATGTCAACATATCTGTATTCTACTCCCACTACTATGCCCCATTAATGGAAAACAGTGCAAGAAATTCTCAGAGCTGTAATTGGAACAACCTGGAGCACTGCCAAAAAAGATTGTAAATGCTTACATTTTTAAAAAATAACAATCATGGTTTGCTTACCTGCTCTGTGTAATGATTTTGGACAGAGCAACCCAATCCTCCTCCTCGCAGGTCTCCTGCAGGCACTTTCAGCTCCTCCCCCTTGCTGAGTAGCCCCATTGCAAGCTTCTTACTATGAGGGCACTTCTGCATTCTCATTCCTGGTTCCTGCTCTGTGTGTCCATGATACAAAGAGTGGGGTTTGGCCCTGCCCCCACTCCCTCCTCACTGGCTGTGACTGACAACAGCAGGAGCCAATGGCTCCTGCTGCTGTCTGTGAGCTGATGAGGGAGGAAAGAGCTCTTATTCTTGTGCACATTGCTGGATCAGGACCAGACTAAGTTAAATATAGAGGGGTGCTGGGGGAAATCTGTATGGAGAAGGTTTTTTTACCTTAATACATTCTCTGCATTAAGGTAAAAAAAAACGCTTCTGCATGCAGCTCCCCTCTCCCCCCCGCCACTCCCTTATAGTTACTTGAGCCCAATCTTGATCCAGCAATGTGTATGAGAATAGATACTCTCTCACCTTTCTCCCATTTTAATGAACAAAACCTTCGACCTTTAGAACCACTTTAAGTAACAGCATATCATAAGCCTCACTGCAATATCATCTAGAGATTTGAGCTGTGGGATCACACTGGCATTCACAGGAAAAATATAAACTATACTAATGTGGTCAGAATGATTGTAAGACTGTTTAATAAATGACATCAGAGGAGTACTTGATGTTGCATTGATGATTTAGGATTGAGAATTTAACTAGATGTTAACCATTTGTACCAATCTTTTCTATAACAGTTCATAATCTAATTCTCTTGCCATATTCATTCAGACAAATAAATTGTAAAGCCATTTTTTTAAATAGAAGCAGTTTTAGTGTAATCAAAATAATATCTTCTAAGGACATGTTGCTAGCAGGAGCAACTTAGTGCAGATCTTTGGTTTCCAGGATAAACATTCTATACTGTGTTGGCTGAAGGTCCTGAAAACAGAGCAAGGCAATCCACAGATAGAAAGCATTTTTCATTGATTCATTGTGTAGGCAACTCTGCATAGAAATCCCATGGATATTGTTACCATGGAGAGTAAAAGAAATCTATAGCAGATGAACATGTGATCTTTTAAACTCATTTGACACCTGCTTTGTAACTAAATACTGTATACTTCATAAAATATGGCGCAGGATAATATTACCCTTATGTTTCCTTTTCAATAGGTTAACAGGAAGCTTTGTTCCAGACCTAATAGTGAGCATAAGTAATCAGATGTGGCTTCACTTACAAACTGATGACAGCATTGGCTCAATTGGTTTTAAGGTGAACTATAAAGGTAAGCTGTCATTTAAAACGCTTGCATTTGCATTCCATTATAACAAATCTACTGTGAAAACCAGACAAAACAGCAAATTAGGTATTATATTTGGTCTGTTGAATACATGCATGAATGTCTGCCCAATCTGCAGATTTTTATTATTATTTTTATACAAGATTATATAGCGCCAACAGTTTGTACAGCATGTAACTATTAAGGGAGACAGTACAATTACAATATCATTCAATACAGCAGAGTTAACAGGGCCCTTGTTCTGAGAGCTTGCAATCAAACAGGGAGGGGCAAGTGGAACTAAAGGTCATAAATGTGAGGGACGAGCTGATGGGAGAATTAAAAGTTTCAGTTGTTAGCTGAAGGCAGGATAAGCTTCCCTGAAAAAATGAGCATACAACTCGTGTATCAAGAGCTTTGCTTTTTGAAATGCGTGATTCTCTATAAGGAGGTATTTAGGAAATATCTAAACTGATAAATCAGAAATTATTTTACTAGTTCTAATTAGTAATAGGTATACCAATCAGAAGATCCAGGTCTAAGCAGTGCAGCTGTTGTTCTCTTCCCCTTACTGCATATGGTACTGTAAAAGTAACGCATAAGTATATCAAAAGCATGTTATATGACTGATCTTTCACATGCCACACCTTGTGATATCAGGTTCCACTTTCCCCAATGATATATCAGTTGCTAGCTTGGCTCGTCTCCACCGAAGTATCAGCAACAGGAATGCCGCACACCGAGATTCAAAATAATCTTTCTTTATTAAAATAGTCAGTAGGAACAAATTCTATTCTGGCATGTTTTGTACTAGGCACAGCGCTTTCCTATACCTAACAAGAAACATGTCAGAACAGAATTTGTTTCTGCTGGCTATTTTAATAAAATAAGATTAGTTTGAATCTCAGTGTGCAGCATTTCTGTTGCTGACAAATGTGATATTATGTGGCTGGTAGATAATCTTGGCACCACATCCCTAATGGATCATTCAAACCAAATAAGACAATAATCTTTATGAGATTTTTTTTAAAAGTATAACTAAAAGAAAAACTTTTTTCTTTAGTTTTGGACAGAGTGGAGATGGATTTCGAACAACTGTCAGTTTTCATTGCTGTCTGTGCCCATTAGGAGTTGAGTCACCCTCTCCATTTGTCCTGTATACCATTATCATCAAAAGTGAAAGTAGAAGAAAATCCCACATTTTGGTTGCTCCTGAAACAGTAATAGGGGGGAAATCTTCCAATGGTAGCACTAGTTCTGCTGACCTAAGGGCTCCAATGGATTCCCTTAATTTGCAGGAATTTCCTCTCACTTCCTGTTTTGGATATGTTTCACATCTAAAACTACAGACAAAAATAAATAAATTTCCATGCTCGGTATGCTTTGCTTCATTGTCTCATACCGGGCCTCTTGGCTCATCAGCAGAAGTTGGCTTCCTATTTGTTTTTGTCCGCCTCTAGAACAATTGCTCAGGCCTGGAAGAGCCCGTTTGTCCCTCTTCAAGGGGTGCGGGACCGTATGACCACTATTGCTCAATGAACAGATGTTGAGTATCTGCAACGACTCCCAATGTAAATTCTTGAAAATATGGGAGCCGTGATTGCAATATGCCTTTCCCATGCTGCCCCGGCTAGTCTGGGGATGTGATGTTGTTCGGTATTAGCTTTCTTGGATCCCTGCTCTTGGTTTTGTTATCTTTTTTCTTTTGTACTCCTCCTTCCTTTTCTTTTCTTTTTGTTTGTTTTTGGTGTGGCAGTGGATAGCTGCCTTTAGTTTGAGTTACTATTGGTGTTATACTAATGTTTTGTCATTTAAGTGCCACTGATAGCCCCTGCTTAGGCACACCTTTTGCTTTGCTGGTGTTAGAGCACTGATTTTTCTAATTTTCTAATTTATTATGTGCAATTGATAGCCCCTGAGTGGGCGTGATTTGTTGCTCCTTTGTTAAACTGTTACAAATTAATAAAAACAATTTAAATACAAAAATAAATACATTTCCATTTATATATTATGATGTAATAATGCAGACCTCCTTTAACCACTTACCCGCCGCCGATATACTGCTACATGGCAAACCAGGTGAGCAAAATCATGTATATATACATGATTTTGCATTTCTGGGTAGGGGGCACGCATGCCCTACCAGCACCACTGTTTGCAGCTGTGGGTGTCAATCACCGGGTCCAAGCCGGTGATTACCCGCCAGTGCCGGTGATTACCGGTGATCATCGACAAGGAGGAGGGCTGCTTTGTTTACCAACGTTCCTCTTCCCTGTCAGTTTGGGCACACTGCTCTGAATGGCTGAGCACAGCCATGCAGAGAAGCGTGCTTAAGTCGCTGATTTACGCCATTATTAGTATATAAATAAAAAAATTCCAGTATCTATACCGCCATTTGTAAATGCTAAAACTTTCACATAAACCAATTAATTTACACATATTGGAATTTGTTTTAGAAAAGACATGGATTGCCATTTGTAAGTTGGGAAAGCATCTGATCACATCGATCTTGGTTTGGTTAGATAATGTAAGGGCAGAGGAGAGATCTACTGTCTGATAAAACCCAGATTTCTCAAAAAAGAATATATAACAATGCCTATTGAGGTTATAGGGGATATTTGCATTCCCTGTGAAAGCATTAAAAGTGATATAAAAAAAATTTAAATGACAGTGTAAAAATAATTTAAAAAATCAAAATAACTTAAAAAAAAACACCCTCCCCCCGTGCACACACGCACCTGTGTGCTCGAGCATTCACCCTGTGTCGGTATGTAAACAGTGGATTCACCATGCATGTGAGGCATCACCGTGAACATCAGATCAAGGACCGTAATTCTAGAACTATACCTCCTCTGTAAATCTAAAATGGTAGCTTGTAAAGCTTTTAAAGTGTTGCCTATGGATATTAAAAATGTATGCAGTTTGTCACCATTGCACGAGACATGCGCAGTTTTAAAGTACCATCTTTTATATTTTACCAAATAATTGGCCAATATATTGTGCTTCTGTGCATTAAAAGTAAAAAAAGTGTATTTTTTGCAAAACATTTGCGTTTGAAAAATCGCTGCACGAGTACTATGTGACATAAAAAATTGCAGCACCCACCATTTTATTTGCTAGGGTGTTTACTTTAAAGAAATATATAATGTTTGGGGGTTAAAAGTAATTTCCTAGCAAAAATTACAGATTTTTTTCATGTGAGCAAAAAGTGTCAGAAAAGGCTTGGTCTTCAAGTGGTTAGAAGAGTGAATGATGTGTGTCATAAACTTCTAATGCTGGGCAGAGAATGCCCCCACCCCCCCTTCCCGCAAAACAACCCCTATTTGGAAAATAGACACCCCAAACTATTTGTTGAGAGGCATGTTGAGTCAATAGAAGAATTTATTTTTTAGTACAAGTTTTTGAAAAATGACAAACTTTTTTTTTTTTACACAAAATTGTCACTTAAATGATTTGCTGCTCACACACATGCCATGATTATATGTGGAATTACTCCCCAAAATACATTCTGCTACTTCTCCCGAGTATGGGGGTAGCACACGTGAGAGACTTTTTGGCAGTCTAGCCAAGTACAGGACCCCAAAATCCAATAAGCACCTTCAGGCTTTTAAAGTGCTTTATTTCCTCATTACACTTCCTGACTACCTATCACAGTTTTGAAGGGCCTGAAATGCCAGGATAGCACCAAACCCCCCAAATGATCCCTTTTTGGAAAGTAGACACCCCAAGGAATTTGATAAGAATCATGGTGAGTATTTTGCAGATCTGGTTTGTTGCCACAAGTTTTTGGAATATGAAGAAAGAAAACAAAAACATATTTTTTCCTTTTCTTTTTTTTTTTTCAAAACCTTGTGAAAAAAACGAGATCTGCAAAATACTCACCATGCCTCTTTTTAAAGTCCTTTGGGTATCTACTTTCCAAAAAGGGGACAATTTGGGGGTTTGGTGCGATCCTGGCATTTCAGGACCTCCAAAACTGTGATAGGTAGTGAGGAAGTGAAATGTGGAAGTTACGCACCTTCGGGCTTTCAAAGTGGTCATTGGATTTCAGGCTCCTGTATGCGGCTAGTCTCCCAAAAAGTCTCACACATGTGATATCCCCATACTTGGTAGAAGTAGCAGAATGTATTTTGGAGTGTAATTCCCATGGCTTATGTGAGAAATATATAATTTAAATGACAACTTTGTGTAAAAAACAAACAAACATGTTTTTGTCATTTTCCAAAAAGTTGTGGAAAAAATATAAATCTTCCATGGACTTAATATGCCTCTAAGCAGATAGCTTAGGGTGTCTACTTTCCGAAAAGGGGTCATTTGGGGGTGGTTGTACTGTCCTGGTATTGTAGCACCTCAAGAAATGTGATAGGCAGTCAGAAAGTAAAAGTAAATTCCATTGTCTATATCAGTTTGTAGATGCTATAAACGTTCACACAAAGCAATCAATATACACTTATTGGAATTTTTTTTACCAAGAACATGTAGCAGAATACATTTTGGCTTAAATTTATGACAAAATTTTAGTTTTTTGGATATTTTTTGTGACAGAAATGAGAAAATATAGTTTTTTTTCAAAAAATTTGTTTAAAATTTTTTTGTTTATAGCGCCAAAAATAAAAAGTGCGCAGGTGATCAAATATCACCAAAAGAAAGCTCTATTTGTCTGAAAAAAGGATTTCATTTATGTACCATATTGCATGATCGCGCAATTGAAAGTTAAACTAGTGCAGCGCTGTATAGCAAAACATGGTGTAAATTGCAGTATCTTTCATTATTTATTAAAATAATAATTATTATAAAAAACACAATGTTCTATGATATGTGTTTACTTTCAATAGAATTTATAGAGCTAAGTTACTTGGCTCGCCATCTAGTATAATACTATTGGTAGTGCTTGTCAACCTCCCCTGGGAGCAGAGAGAAATGTGTCTGCCAATAGCAGTTGCAGGATTGCCAATTTAAAGCTAATCTGTCTTTCTCACCACTTCAATCACCTCTCCTGCCCTTGT